TGAATCGCTTTGCTACTTGTTACTTTGGTAAGTTGTAACTATGCTAACGATGGCGCCTCTCACTGAAGATGCCGGCGAAACGTTTTGGAATGTACCAAGTCAATGATCCGACGCTGGAAATCATAAATACTATGAAATAAGACAGATGACGCTCCGACCAAGTTGCGAAAACGAGGTCGAACCAACACTATAAAACTAAAGGAGACTGCGACCAAACATAAGGCCACACCAGCTTGGTCTTCATATCTACGATTTAATACTGAGTTAATTTGCAGCATTTTACATTAAAAAATTCTTGCTGCCAAATTAGCAAAATTATAGAAGCGAACGTTTTATACTTGGAAAAGACTCGGCATCATCTGGAAACAGGTGATATACAGGGTTCACTCTTGCTAGGAATCGGATTAGTGAGAATTGGACCTGCTTCAATTGCTCTGCAGCTCGCCGACGAAGAGTAGCAATGTCTGGAGCAGGTGGAGGACGAGTAACGCGGGTTGCTAAAAAAGTATGTGGTTCTGGAGCAGGCGGTAGTCGAAGATAAGAGGGAGAAGGAGGTAGATGAGAAGAGGGAGTGCTGGCTATCGATGTAGAAGATGCGATCCATACAGGCCCAGGAGTTTGCGATGTTGAAACTTGATTGCGGATGCCCAGAGGTCTAGGGATAATAATTGCTCCAGTGGGACCAAGCAATGACGTTTGAACTACACCCAATTTTGCAGAATCAGCGATAGCAAGGGCTTGAACCGTAGGGGGCAAATTTAAAAGCAAAATAAAATTCTTAGGTTTATAAGGTAAAGAAAATTTCGTGAAGCGCAAGTAAAGGTCTTTGGTTGGTTTAAAAGCGTCGAAATTTAGTAAGAAGCCAAATACGATAGAACAAACGGAATATACAAGAATTAACAAGGATAGGCCATTTGAAAATAAAAACAAGAATACGGATATACACCAAAGGTAAAGTAAACTAAGCATTATCAAATAGTTCAGATAAGAGCAATACATTAACGGATACGAGTACATCATAAATGTGATGGCTAATGGGAGATTAAGTGGCCTTGGGGATAAAAAAAATTAATTTGAGTAAACAATCACAAAATAATGCAAGCAAAGAATTATTTAGAAACGCCAATAAGAAAATAAACAACTCAATTTACGCTCTTTGAAACCACGATATTGACGACGCTTGGGGAGATTTATGAGAGAAGATATGCTTATGCCAGAATCGGCAAAGGCCAAGGCCAAATCCAAAGGTATTATTCTTACACGTCCAGAAGATTCAGCATAGCTAAGGCTTTTTATTGCGATATCTTCCATAACTAAAAGCAGAAGAGAGTAAGTGGTCAAATGACAAGTAGTTGGATAAAATATAAATTAACTACATGACAAAATCAAGCCGGATAGGGAACGAAGGGCTGCATATTCAATTGTCGAGAAGCCAGTGAGAAGAGCTGAATATCCAACAGCACTCTCCAGAACGTCAGATAGACCTTGAGGAATTTCGCTGCCCGTAATAACCCTAGTGGACATCATTCACAGATAATGCGTAAAGTCCGCGTACAGCTAAATTTCTTAGTATATACTAACTAATTTTTGATAATCAAAAAATAGCAATTATTATTATTTTTACATTACATATGTGATTAAATATACTAAATGCGCGGTTAATGTAACGACCCGCTCGTGCTAACGCGGCGGTCGCCCACATTTCGGTCTCATGTTTAATGGACATGGCTTTATAAAAATGACTGATATTTGCTCCATATTGTGTTTTAAACAATTACTCTCAAAATGTTTGCTTGCGTTTGGCTCCAAGACCTTGTTGTATGTTTTGTTATTTTATGTATTTTCTATATCCCTCACCTTCTTTAATAGCAGATCTATCAAGGTATTCACATTTTTTTCGCTTTTATTGTTTGCCCTTAGATATATCCATACCCTTTGTCTATCACCTTTTATCACCTCATTGTAAAATTTACAATTGCACTCTTCTTGAGGCTTCTGTATACATATTATTTTCGGGTCCAACGAATTGAACTTGGTTGGAAATCACATATAAAATGTGTGGCTCCAGCAGGTGTTGCTAGTGCACTGGACATTGGTCTGTCTAACTGGAGTCTGGAATTTATTACAATATCTCTGTATGCTCTCCTTTTATGATTATTACCAGGTATACTATGACAAAATCTACCTCTGTTGTATTTGTATTGATATTTTCCGTTATGCTAGACCTGGAGAAGAAGGTTTACTTTATCTTTTAAAAATATACTTAGAGACTGTCACTTATTATTGTAATATTGTTAATATCCGGAGGGCTGCTACTCTTTTCATATGGGTCGACGCAATTTAACCCTATTGGATTTTCTTTAGTGCTCTTCGCTTCATTCGTTAGTGGATTTAGATGGGCGGCTGCCCAGTTTGTTACTCAAAAATCTGAATTGGGTGAGTACTTCTCTTACGGTAGAAGTCTCTGAATGCGATTTTGCAACCCAACATTTTTCATTATCCTTTGATCCACTTTAGGTCTTTCGAATCCAATAGATATGATATATCATATTCAACCATGGATGGCTCTTGCGCTCTTGCCTCTAGCATTGGGAGTAGAAGGTATTCTAGCATACTCCATGAGAGTTAATTCGTCCTAATATATATGCTTGAGGTATTTTTTATTTTAAAAGGAGTCGAGATCATTGCTTCGCAAGATTTATTCCGATGCAGTGACTACAGTCGTCTTTTGTACAATATGCTCTATCTCCTAATTGGTGCTTTACTTGGGTTTTGTTTAGAATGTGCCGAATATCTAGTGATATGCCATGCATCTAGTCTAACGCTATCGATTGCGGGAATATTTAAAGTAAGTGTTTTTAAATCATTTTGTGTAATTTTATGCTATT